ATTTATTAACATACAAATAAAATCACATTTCAGTACAAATAAAATATCACCATAGTGGAATACTGAGAGAATGACAATTAGGTTTTAATGATTTAAAATGCTCACCAACAGAAGTTGCCATTTTTCTCCATACAGTTAAGAAGTTGACACTTCCGAGGCTCTTCAATGTGGCCCTGTCCGAAGGCAGCCGATTTGGTCTAGCCTGGGTCTGAGTTCTCTGCCAGGAGATAGAATTCAGGTGCGTGTAGTACCCATCCAATGACAAGCCACAGGGAAACTGGCCCTTCAGGAAGTGACTAACTGTCATCTGATAACCACTCCCTCAGGGGGTAAACCGAGTCATTCATCTGTAGTAAGGCACAGATGGAATAGTCTTGCTCAGGCATTTAGCTTCCTTTAACGTTCCCCTCAGTGTGTTAGGAATGGAATCTGTAGTGACCCTCCTTGTTGAGCTCCTTTCAAAGAGGGGACAGAAAAAGTGTGACTGTGGAGAGAGGACTGAGGAGCCATGGAGCTTACCTCAGTGTGTGTGCTGTGGAGTTGAGGGGGTACTCGTCAGCTGGTTACCACGTGCCTCTGGAGGCCCCCCTCCTTTGGGCAGTGTGGTACCCTGGAAGGAACAGACTTCGGAGTAAGATGTGGGTTCAAATCCTGCCTCTGGCTCTGGACAAATTACTCATCATCTGACATATTTTCCTCATTGATAAAGTGACCTTAGTCACCACCTTCTCCCAGAACTGGACTTCCTGCTGCAAGATTTCCCTGCCCTTTGGAGAAATGGCTTTCAATTTTGATTTAAAAGTAATAGAAACTTAAAAAAAAAAAAACAACCCTTAACCTATGATTCCCTAAGTCAGGGCTGTGTCTTCTCTCCCACATCCTGGCCTCTTATCCGGTGCTTGGAAGGCCGGCCTCTTCACTGTGGGTACTCAGGTACCTTTGCCGGTGGGAGAAGTAGTCAGCCTGACAGTTTATGTTAGTGAGAAGAAGTTATCTATAGGAGGAGAGGAAGGAAATACAAGAAATAAGGAGAATTTGTAGCCTGTAAATGTCTGTCATTGCCGACTCTAGCAAACATTATTATTATTATTATTATTATTATTATTATTATTATTATTACTGGTAAGTGTGAGATCTCATTTTATTTCTTAGTCATTAAAGAAATAGAGCTTTAGAAAATTTAAAAGTAAGTTTACCATAAACAAAGCAAAGCAAATGAAAGAACACCTCAGGACAGAACTTTGAAAATATATATGATCTGGCGTGGAGGTGTCCTGCCAACCAATGATAACAGGGCTGAGCACAGGGCTCTTCCCTTCCAGGCTCAGCTGCCAAGTTTTCTTCTGGGTTCTGAATCCTGTGTTGGCCCCTTTGAGATTTCTCAGATTGTATCAGATGCGAGTGTGGGAAGGGGCCGGTGTGGACGGCAGCCCCTGAGACAGGAAGGGCTGGGTCACCAGTGCCCGAGGCTCTGGTCACTCTCCGTGTGTATCTAGATGCTAGGCAGAAGGGACACCAAGGGCCAATAAGGAAAACGGGGCCAGGAATGACTGAGGCACTGGTTGAACTTTGAACCTGGAGGACTCCAGTGGTTCAGCTGTGACGGTGAGCCAGATGTCAGCACGGTGTGCTCTCCACACAGTACAGGCCGGTGCTGGCTGGGCAGGAGGACACCTGACTTCTACAGCTAGCTTTGACTCCCCAGATCAGTCTGCTCTCAGAACACTAGAGAACACAGCCACGTATGGCTGTATGGCTGTACTAAACACAGGAAGGAACAGGTTTGGGTTCATACAAGAGTTCTGTGTATAACCGAGTAAGTTCCTCACTATTTATAACAAACGTCTCTTTTCTTATAAAATCCTATCAGAGTTTAGACATGCTTTCTATTCTGCTGGCACTTTTTTTTTTTCAAGACAGGATTTCTCTGTGTAGCCCTGGCTGACCTGGAATTCTCTCTGTAGACCAGGCTGGCCTCAAACTCAGAGATCCACCTGCCTCTGCCTCCCAAGTGCTGGGATTAAAAACAAGCGCCACCACACCCAGCTGTCTGCTGGCATTTTCCCAACAATGCTCCTCATCTTCTGGTTTCCATTGATGTCTCACAGTGTGCTTGTACATCGTAGGATATTAGTAATACTGAAGTGAAGGATCAGTCTTTGTTGTACTATAATTTGAGCCGTACTTCAAAACAGATGTATTTTCTAGATTTACCCCATTTCAGTATGTCGCGGTTCATGTTGGTCTCCATTTTCTTTTATCCACACCACAAAGATGTCAGCAGATCCTCTGAAAGCGAGCATTGGCTGTGCATGCGTCTAAGTGTGAATGCATCTGTGAGTGGTACCTTCTTGGTCTTTCTTTCTTTCTTTTCTTTCTTTCTTTCTTTCTTTCTTTCTTTCTTTCTTTCTTTCTTTCTTTCTTTCTTTCTTTCTTTCTCTCTCTCTCTCTCTCTCTCTCTCTCTCTCTCTCTCTCTCTCTCTTTCTTTCTTTCTTTCTTTCTTTCTTTCTTTCTGTTTTTTGTTTTTTTTCGAGACAAGGTTTCTCTGTGTAGTTTTGTGCCTTTCCTGGAACTCTCTCTGTAGCCCAGGCTGGCCTCAAACTCACAGAGATCCACCTGCCTTTGCCTCCCGAGTGCTGGGATTAAAGGTGTGTTCCACCACTGCCTGGCCCCTTCTTGGTCTTTCTAAGAAAGGGCATGTTCTGTGATGGGGATTGCACACAGTACCCTTGTGCATAGCCCCCCCCCCCGCCCCGATAGTACACAGAGGTTCTGGAACAGTGGGAAAGCCAGGAGATAAACCCTCAAGAACTGAATGGACTCTAGTGAAGCTAGATTTCCGTTATGCCGTCTACATCCATATCCTTAAAGCCACACACAAAAGCCTCAGAAAGCTCTGATTTCCCTAGGAGAAAGTACAACCTAGTTTTTGTTGTGAATAAAAACACTGACTGAGACTTGTCACATTTTTGTTTCGATGGAGGAAACTTGGCATTGCCAAGAGAGAGGTAGGAGAATGTGTGGCAGATGAAGACTGGTGAGGATGGGTTGCAATCCAGAAGACATTTTCAGAGAAAAGACCCCGTTTCTTTGATATCAGCCCTGTTTTGCTGACTAGCTGGGTTACACAGAGGTACCACCCAGGAAGACTTCCCAGGGACCTGCATTGCTAACCTACATTCAGAAATTCAGCTTGCCACACACACACGATGGCTCTGTGAGGAAATCTCAGCTCGCCGTGCACGGTGGCTCTGTGAGGAAATCTCAGCTCGCCATGCATGGTGGCTCTGTGAGGAAATCTGACACACGTGGTTTAAAGCTCTCGGACTATGACCAGCCTCTGTGAGGGGCCTGGCCCTTCTCACATGCTTTCATTGTCTGTTGTTTGGGCAACACGATTCATCATCTAGTATTGATTATATTTAAAATAGCATACTTAACTATTTGTCTTTTGGATTCAACTAGTTGTTTCCAAATCCTTTGCTTCCTGACTTTATCCACAAACCAATTTACATACAACAACTCAAGTCAAACTTAACAGTAAGTGGGAGTTGATTCGCATACTAAAACTATGATTTCCATCTCTGTTGTTGGTCATTTACACTCTCCTGTAGGTGATAGATAAAGCTTGTTTATGTGTTCGCCAAAAGGTCTCCGTTTTTTCCACAAAAAATTCCACTGTAGGAGCACCGTTTGATGGCTTGAGTTCCATCGGACTCTGCCATGCTCACAGGAGTAACGTGCACATCTGTGGTAAACATGTCAGGTGCGAGTTTGTAAAGGATTGAGAGCCTGATCGGGAAGCCTGGGGTAGCGATTATGAGCATGGAAACACATGGGCGCAGCACTCTCGAGCGAGAGTCTGTGGGCCTCTGCGACATTTCTGACCTCTCCCCTTCTCAACAGGAATGCGTCTCTGGGCTTTATCTATCTGCTTTTCTCTTTTCTAAGCTCCTATCCCATTTTCCTTTTTCTAACACTCCACTAGGGGCAAACTGCTCAAATTAAGGGTTATGAATCCTAAAGAATTATCTAGGATATACCAAATAATAAAACTCATCTTCTGAGAAGCATGACAAAGAAAATGAATTTCTACATATTAGTATTACCTTGGTCTTAGGCTAGCTTCAGTAAGGCATTAAAATATCGACCAAGATTAGTCAAAGGTTAAAAGAAAAAAGAAAAGGAAAAAAAAAAAAAGGACAGACTTAGAGAAATAGGGAAACAGCGTAATGGAAACCTGCCCTTGCTCCATGTGACCTCCAGGTGGCGCTGTTGCCCTGGGCATGGAAAGCCGGCGCCAGGCTCCCTTTATAGCCGGATTTTCACTTTTTCAAAAATATTTTCTGTCTCTACAGATGTGTTCTTTTAAATGGTCAATAAAATTTTATAACCACTATTTGAAAAATCGCAAGATTATTGTGATTTGTGCTTCCCGGGCAAGGATATTTCTTTCAGTCCAGACGTTCTCAGCCAGTCAGGTGTCTGTTCTGTGGCGCCCCTGTTCTGTCCTTCTCTCCTCCCGAGTCCCCGGGCTCAGGCACAGACACTTGAGCAGTGGATGGGACTCATCCGGGTATCTTTAGACACTGTTTAAATTTAAAATACCCTTCCTAGTCCAGCTCTAGGAGCTCAGTTCCCTGCACTCCGAATGGACAAGGCCCTCTTTGCACAAATGCCACCCCGAGCCGGTGGGAGATTTGGAGGTGGGCAGGGAGATGCTTGTCATACCCTAGAGATATTTGGAGGTCCTTTTCACAATGCACCCCATGGTCTAATCGTATTCTCTAGGAAAGCGTTCCTAGATAAAAACCAGGAGGAGAGTTTGTTTCCTGTTTGGAAGGATTTCGGGCCAGGAGCGGTGGAGATGTCATCGCCGAAAAAAGAGCAGTACGAGGAGTTACCGTAATTTGGGGCAAAGTCTGGAATTTTTAAGATTGACGTTAGAAATAATCAACTAATTTCCCTTTGTGTTCTTCCTGTTTCTCTTCTCTCACAGGGGTTTGTGAACAAGCTGGATGAATTCATTCAGTGGCTGAACGAAGCCATGGAGACCACCGAGAACTGGACTCCTCCCAAGGCGGACACGGACAGCCTTCGGCTCTACCTGGAGACCCACTTGGTAGGCAGGATCGAGTCGTGTGTTGCCGTTTCTGTCAAGGATTTCAGCGTGATGCTGACTTGTTTAGGTCCAAAAGCAACTTAGGTCAATCAAAAGTCTTTAGATGCTAAAGAAACCAGGCTTCAGTGGGGTTAACCCACAAGCTGAACACGTGCAGGCGTTTCAAGCAGTAATATGACACCTAAGGCCTCCATATTTCAAACTGATGCTTCAAAGCTTTTTCCAGAAAGGCCACTATTTTAAAATACCTCAGAAAATCTTATTAGACCTGTGATGATTGAAGATTTCTCTCTTCTTGAAAGAAATAAATGAATACAAGAGAAAAATTTGATGACCGTTCTGAAGCGTTCTAGAATTCTTGTAAAATTAATGAGCCTCTCATTATCAAGAAGGTCTATTTAATCTGTTCTACACTTGGCTATTTTAATAAAATATTTAAAATGATGATCTCCATCATTTCTGCTGCTACGTGGATTTTTCAGCAGATAATTAATACAACTGTCATTATCCCAGGCCCCGTGCTTAGGGAAAACCAGGGAGTAGTCATGGAAAACATTTGGATGACTATGCTTTGCGTCTGTTCAAAGCAGGAGTTATAGACCAGGGTACAGTTGATGAACCTCAGGAGGTTTGTACCGAATGCTTCAAATGGCCGATATCAATTATGAAGGGGTGGGAACCACGTAGCGGAGTGTGATAAAGCATGACGAAAACGCACGTTGTCACAGGAAACGAAAACTCGAGCTTTAAGGAGCTCATCTTTATTCCTTTCACTGATAGACGAAAATTGACAAAGGCAATGAACAAGGATCCTTGGGTACCCAACTGTGGGGCTGATTTCTGCCCCTTTGACACGCTTAGAATTTGGATTAAGAGAGTGCCATGTAGGTTCCCATGCATAGGAGAGGCCAGAAAAGGACAAAAGAGGGACAGGAAAGGAAGAATTTTAGTTGACTTAGTGTTGTGTTTGCAGCTCGGTTTATGTAACGGCAGTAAAACGGTCACAGAAGCCAGTTGCTGTGTGCGGGTAGGCTTGTGGATGATCAAGGGATGGCCTGGTGGGGTGCCACAATGCCAGTGGCCCTCAGTGACTCTCTTGTACGTGGGTTTTGAAATACTGCCCTTAGCATTCAATTCTCTGTGGAATACGGTTTCCATTTTTTTTTTAGAGGGCATTTCATAATAGCAAGATAAAGATATTCAGTGCTTTATGATGTAAATTATATTAATTAGAATGTCAACTTTTCACTGGCATTGTTCTGACAGAAATTCTAATCTGTGTTTAAACAGGACTATATGAACTTTATTTCACATCAAGTGTGCTGTCTTAATTTTCTTGATTTAATATTTTATGGAAAACACACATTCAGCTGCTGAGGTTCCAGAGGGCACAAGGGCATAAGGGTGCCTTAACTGTGGGTGACTTATCGAAAGCCAAGCACAGCACCTGCGGGCTGAGGACCCTTTCCTCCCTGAGTGATGCGCCCCTTTGTCCCCGACGCATATTCCTGTCTCAGTTCTGTTACAGAAATTCCTGCTTGACATCCTCGGGCTGACCTCACCTTATTCTAGCCCACAGCTTCATGAGGGAATAATGTGTACCGCTCTGTCTGATGTAGGTGCCGCTAACTTCATATATCTAGTGTTAACTTCGAGTGTCGCTAAGTCTACGGAAGAAGTAAATTTTTAATCCGATCATCCGATTTAAATGGTCGCCTATGTCTACTTCCTTACTCTATGCAGCCTTAACAATTGCAGACCTTTTCAGAAGTGACATAATGAAGCTCAGGGATCCATACCTGCCTCAAGACAATGTTCTCATCCCAAACATGGGGGTCTATTCCCATTTGCTGTAGACCACCAAAGGGTCCTTCTTGAGATATCTCTCTTGGAGAGTAGTCTGTTTCGTCAGAGGATATTTTATGGGGGGGGGGATGTTTTTTTTTTTCTCTCTCTGACTCTTCCAGCTGGAATAGAAGTGATATAGGAATAGTTTGGTTATCTCTGCTTTTAAATGGTGAGGAACTATGGTTTGCAGGCCACTTCCCTGTGAAGTCACGGTCCCAGATGTTACTTCTGATGCTATGAATAACGCATGCGATAGCCACATTAGCCTTCTGTGCATGCAACAGAAGTCTCTGAGAGTCACTGGACTGTTTACCTGGTCACTTAACCTAGGACAAGACTCGGCTTCTCTCTGTCCACATTGTCCTCCTATCCTAGTTGTTGTCTGTGTTTAGTACATTATCATTATGCCAAATCAATATTCTTCTTAGTCTCAAAAGGAGGCAAAAATCTACCTTTCTATAAAAACTATACAAGTGAGCCTCGAGATTCATATTTAGCTCAGCCTACACAAACCATTGCTGTCTCCCAGTGAGTAAGCAAATGGTTTTGCAATGTTACTCAGTATTAGAGGTTGCCAGACACACTTGTTAAGCCATTTTTCTAGATTCTATGGTTCAATCTTTAGTCTGCATGAGTGGGAGACCCAGGAGTGATGCTCTTCTCTGGTGTAATACATTGGAATAGCTGGCATCTTGCAACATTTACTGTAAAGAAAAACAAATACCAAAATAATAGTTGTACATTTATATCTTGATACTTAATTCAATTGTTTTCCATGATGGTAGCCAAGGGTTTCTTTTTCCTTACCAACACAAATCAATTAAAACTTTGCAATGCCTTTCTGAGAGAGACAGGGGAACTTTATTTTAGCTGTAGGAAACAGTGTGAAATTGTCATGGTACATCAGCGATTTTCCATGATAATTAATCATCTGCTTGCAACCTGGCTGCTTCTTCAAAAATACAATTCCCATCTTTTTAGAAACTGGCATTTTCAGGAAAATGTCATTTGGGGGTGGTATGTTATGAGTATTGGCCACTCTCCTTCTTTGAAACCAATTTTAGAAGTAACATTGTATAAATGTATTATTGGGCAGCTTCCCTTTTCTCTCTCTTCCATTCCCTTCCTAACCTCTTCAAAAACAGCTTTATTGAAGTGTTTGGCCTGAGACAGATTGCATATTTTAGAGTATGAAAGTGAAGGAGCTTTGACAATCTGAAAGATATACACACTCCACCAAAACCATGATGGTGAGCACATGCATCATCCCACACTTCCTCATGACATTTTGTAATTCCTTCTTCCAGCCCTCCTCCTCAGCCTCCTCTGCATTCCCAAGCAATTGCTGATTTCCTTTATGTCACTATGGAATTAGTTCGTACTGTCTCGAATTTCACATGAATCAGACCAACCCGCGGGTACTCTGCGGGGGCACGGACCCAGTCTATGATTCGGCCTCTTGTTGGATACAGCATCATTTGCGTCTGTCAATTGTTCTGTTTTGTTGGTAAATAATATTCCACCTGTGCATGGACCACACTTGACTCACCGAGTCACTGATGAGCGTTTGAGCCGTTTCCTCCACAGTCTTTCAAAGTCTGTCTATGTGGGTAGAAGCACAATAAAGGGGGACATTGTGAATAGCCGTCACACACCAGGGCATGTGCTCTGACAGTGTGTGCTTGGTAACCAGCCATTGCAAGTGCTTGGATGGGGTTCCTTTAAGGAAATGTATAGTGTCTTCAGAGCACAGTGCGCAGGAGCGAGGCAGCAGACAGGCAACGCTGGCCAGAGCCACTGTATTCCATGTGCTTCGGGAATGACAGCTCTCATCCCCAGAGTCCTTGTCATGCAAACCTAATTCACCAAATGAGGACCATATCATAAGCATCAACACCAGGAAAACAAACTAAGTTCACATTATCCGGGAGGTTTTTAAAAATATTTATTTATTTTACATCTGGACCACATTTTCCCCTCCCTCCTCTCCTCCCATTTCTCCCCCTCCCCTCCTCCCCCAATCTACTCCTCCTCTGTTTCTGTTTAGGAAGGGGCAGGCCTCCCATGGGTATCAACAAAGCATGGCACATCAAGTTGCAGTCAGACTGAGCACCTCTCCTTGTATTAAGGCTGAGCCAGGCGACCCAGTATGAGGAATAGGGTCTATCCGGGAGTTTTCAACTTGTTATAAGATCCGTCTTACTGTGTAGCCCAGGGTGTCAGGGAACTCGCTGTGTAGCTCAGGCTGGCCACCAGCTTGCAACCTCCTGCCCCGGAGGACTGGAATAGCAGATGGCTTGTCTTAAGAAGCAATATTCTTAGTTCAATTTGATGTATGGGAGCAGTGTAACAAAATGATGACTATGGATCCGATATTCAAGTTCATACCTATCAGGCACCCAGGAGTGTCAGGCGGTTCCTTAGGCACTAGTGTATGGTGAATGAAGTTGGCTTCTGTTGGGGGCTTTCAATTGAACGGAGGCAACCATAGGTTATATGATATAGTCCTGGCCAGGAGATTTTTATAGGATAAATGAAGGAGTTCCGTGAAAAGGTTTATTGTTTTCCTAGAGATAATTGGATGCAGCCCTCAAAGGGCATCTATCATTCTGCTGGCTAAAACCAGAGCAGAGAGCATGGGTGGGGGTTTCACAGCGAGGGTGAGGGAGGGAAGGCTAGCCCAGCCGGTGTGGCTGAGGCCCAGCTTGAGCCTTGCAGGTGGGTGCTGGGCAGGAAGGGAGACTAAATGACATTTTAAATTGCCAAACTTTTCTCTGGGGGCACTGAAGGATTGCCTGTGTTTCAGAACAGGAGAGTGAGAGGAAACAAACACAAATCCCATGGGGGTGCGGCCCGTCTGGCATCGATGAGCTGAATGAGGTCAACTGAGTGACTGTAATGGAAAAATGGGCTTGAGTGTAGAATTTGATGTTCTAGCCCAGACGAGCAGCTATCATATTTCAAAAATGTGGTTTTTGACCGGCTGTGTGTAAATAAGACAGAAACTTCATAAAGTGAATGACAGTGGACTGGTTCAAGTCTATGGAGAATCCCTCTCTCATGTTCTCCCAGATACTAGCTCTCCTCTCCTGCTTTCTAACATTTCGGAGTTATTCCAAGTATTTAAAAACAGCTACACACACGGGCTTTGC